TATATATATATATATATACATATGTATATTTATTTATTTATTTATTTATTGAAAATTATAAGTACATTTTACCCTAAAAATGGAGCAACGAAATCATGCCTTTTTTTCCAATTATTTAAACTTATCCTTATATGATTCTTCTTGTAAATTTTTTTACTCTTATTATTTAACCTCCTTATTAATTAGAGAAACGACCAAATCAACTTTATTCTTTCTAGTCCTAGCAATTTCCTGCTCCTAGCATTGTAAATAACATTTCACTTCTCACTTTTATGATTAAATAGTGACTATATTGTCACTAATAAAAATATGATTATCATTTGATATTTATTTCAATTTATTAAGGCATTTATTTTGACTGCACATATGAAAAGAAGTAACAACCTGATTATTCTCATTTTATAAATTAAAAACTTGTCATATTGTAATCTATAAAACTTAATTTTAAGTACGTAATAGATTGTATGTGATATTATTCTAAGTTATGAAAAGAATATATTATTAACCATCATTTACATCAAATTTGAGATACTGGCAACATGTTAGCATTTAGTGCTTTATTTAAGCTTAGGCATTAATTCATTCATAAAACTACCACCTTGTGTCTTAAAAAGTAATTTAAAAGATATATTTGTATAAAAATTCTTTTGCTAATAATCCCACAACAGAATCATCAAATGCATAAGTGAAATATAAAAATGTTCTTCAAACCAATCCACTCTATTGTACTAAGAATACGATTGGCTCTATTGTAATAAGAATATGAATACGATTGGCAATATCCTTGAAATAAATTCAAATAATTATCATATTATCAATCCATCGAAATAAAAGGAGCATTATTTGAGAAATCAACCATTTACTTCCGACTATCATTATTTCAAAGATATAGATATATATTTAAAAAAGTTCTGATTCAACTTAAATGAATTGAGGTCATTCATTATAGAAATGCATGGGATAAACAAATAGCAACATTCAATATTTGATATCTCATAAAGAACGAAGAATAACCCTTTTCCTGATCGTATTATTTATCTTAATCCTACCGAAGCTGTAAGAATCGATTATTGAAAATATATATATATATACAAACAATGATTAAAACTTTTTAAGTTTTAAATAATACTAAAAAACAATCACAGATGAATATTATGACAAAATAAGTTATCCAGAAAGAAATTTCAGCATTTGTAATTGCAGAATAATTTTGGTGTCGAAAGAAATTCCATCTTACCTAAATTTTGCTTTTTACATTGATACTTACCAAATATTACATATCACATAAAAAATACCAACATATTAACTTTTAAAAAGTGAAATACACCTTTTCATGCATGGGTAAGGTTGCATATATGTAAAAATTGAGGCTTAGTTTGAATCAATTTAGGCCAAACCAAACTCGGGTTTAGTAGGACCATTATGTATTTAATTCCATTTACTAAGGGGATGCCCCAACCACCATAAGGATTGTTTCCCTTATAAATCGATCAAAAAAGGTCATTAGAAGCACTGCTAAACTACCTTTAAAAAGACAAAAAGGTGATGGATCGAGAAGGCTTCTCATTTTCCTATTATAGTGGCGCTTCAAGATGAGCTAAATATAACAACCTAGGTTTTGTCCATTATGATGAGTGTTATAAATGGTAACAAGGCAATCTTTTACTTTAGAATATGCCAAACCTTAACTCAAATCCAGTATGGCGATGATAGACTATATGGTGGTAGGCATGTGTTCTTGACACCAAGCAACCTTGATAGCCTTGAATGGAGTAAAGGATGTCAAAGGGAGACCCCCCAACGGCTTAGCTGCTTGAGGTGCTCCTGCATAATCTCTCTTGTGCTCTTTCTAAATATGGGACTCTCAGCATTTGGCTAACCTCCTATTGTGCTCGGAACATCGAGCCACTGAGAGGCATCACTTGGAAACAAATGGGTGGCATTAGACACTTTAAGGGGCTGCTTGATTAGCTGCAAAAGGGGTATATTGCATTCCTTTTGCAAGAGTCTTGAGAATTCAAACGTTATTTGGAATTTGATGGATTTGACTGAATTCCAAATACACAACTCCATTTATAGTGCCGCTTTCCGAACCCGCTGCTTGTTGCCTAAAAAATGTCCCCCCCCGACACTTGCAGCAAGTCGCGGCCCACCAACAGCAGACTGACCCAAGCCACCAGCCGGCAATTTCTTGCAGATGTCATTGCCGCCTACTGCAGCCGACGCTTATCACTGCCCACTGCCACCTGTAGCCGTCATTGCTCACAAGCCACCTCTAGCCCCCGTTCCAACCCCTACTGCTAATGCCTATATTTGACATTAAATTTAGTTCTCTTTAAACCAAACAAGAATATGTAATGTCCTAAATTTATTTTACATTGAACAGAACACCTCCAAAGTATTCCGACTACAATACATTACTTCTATAATACATTAATTTTTTAGCTTACCAAACAGCCCCCAAGTCATTAACAGCTACTGTATATCTTTTGTTCACCCAGAACTAGGAAATTGAGGAAGTGCAAAGCGCAAAGATGAAAGTTTAAATAGGGCTAATCATGGCTGGATCAATAAATCCTAGAATGGTTTAAACTTGACTCATCATAGATAATCCAATATCATTTTACTTCAATCTGGTTTAACCAAAAATGGACAATTCAAGGAATTTTGTGCTTGGGCATTTTCTTGCTGGTTCAATGCTACTTTTGGAACTCATGCCAGCAGCATGCAACTCTCATGAACATAAATATTACAAAGGATGGGAAGAATTCATGATTTCAAGAGTAAGGGCTTATCATTTAAATCAGTATAATGTATTTATCAGCCAGAACTGCTACTAGTACTCCTGAAAAAACCACTAAACACTACTTCGCTATCTCATGATTTTCTAAGGAAATGAGGATTCTTTAATGAAAAATCTAAATTATAAACAGGAAAAAATTACAATAATACTATAACGCTATGAAAATTAAATATAGATGCATGGTAACTTACAAGCTCTTGCTTTCTAATTATGTAGATGATTCATTAGCTTCATAAAATGTGCTTCATTTTTCTTCATAAAGTAAATCCATAATAAACATCTAGATCATTTTTTTCTCACCAACGATTTTTTCTTAAAACAGAAAGAAAGCATTTGGAGTTCTAGCCGATTGTAAAACAATCGTAAGAGAAAATGACATTCTAAATGGAATTCACAATGCCAAAATTTCTCGACCAACGAGGGATGACCAAAAGCGCACCTTCGGGAGATCGGGGCAGGTGAACGGTGCACTTTAGTGGTGTCCAGCTGCCGCGGCGTGCTGCTGCTGGTGCTCGAGGTGGCGACGCTCATGCGGCAACGCAACCAGGTAGGAGAAGATCATCCCGCCGATGCCGC